AAAAAAAAATGCCCTGAAAGGAGCTTTTGAAAGTGCCCTGAAAGGAAACCCTACTTACTGTGGACCATGGTAGGTACTTAGTTAGGAGCCTTTGGGTTCGCATGCCAGCAATGCCTGCAAATCATTCAGGGTCTAGGGTATAGGGTTTAGGGTCCAAACTCAGGTATGCAGACTTCATTGAGAATATGCCTAAATAATTACCAAAACTATGTTTGGGGTTATTATGATCATAGTAAAATGGGCCCTAAAACCCTATTCTAATTAATAGGGCCCCTACATTACTCCTCCCAAACATCTTTCGGCTGCATGTGGTTTCGTCACGCGGCTCCTCATCACAAGCTTTTTTCCGCAGCTCCGGAAGCCCAAATGGTGACTTGAAGTGTGGCTGGACTGTAGCGGTCGGCGCATCATTGCTTAGGAATTTGCAGGCATGTACCCAGAGAGCCCAATACCTTAACTCATAATATTGAGGCCCCTATAATTTAAGGTATATTCCTATATTAAGGTGTAGTATTGGGCTCTTTGGGTAGTCTTGTGTTAGGAGCTTGCAGGCACTGTCACTACCTTCAGGCGGTGGCTATGGGAGGTCGACAGAGCCATGCCGCAAGTAGCGGAGACGGTGCTGGGCGAGGCCGAGCCCGAGGAGGTTCTGCTAGAGGTCTTGGGCCGCATGGAGGACCCGGTTCCGTCTGAATTTTTAGAAGCTTGCGAGGTGTCGCCCGGCGTCGAGGACCACAGTCCGTCTACATGTTCCATGAGTTTAAGACAAGATGCAGATCGCGACAAGGCTGGTCAGCTGGTGCAGCTATACATAGCCTTCGTCCATCAGATGAAAGCGACACGTCCAGAAATACTGCGTGGTGTTCGCGTTTGGCAACTGTTGCGTTACTTGCCGTGGGCTTGGCTACGAGGCCAGCTTGAAGATCTGCATGTATTGAGCCAGGAAACTGCCAAGCTCGATCAGTTCTGGTCTCACAGCTGGCGGGGGGCAGGTTGGGCCAAGTTTACCAACATACTTTACCTCCATAGTTGCATGCCAGCGAGCATTGCAGGGACATTGAGCGCAGGCCTAGCCTTCGGCTTGGTCTCAGCAGGATTTCTGGGTGCACTCGAGACATATTGCATGCTGTTCGGGTTTGTAGCCTTTTGCATAACCCTGCTGCTCTGGCGTCCACACAAGTTGGTTTTTCTGGACATCGCTTGCATCCATCAGACTGATGAACAACGAAAGGGAGAGGCAATCATGAGCATGGGTGCATTCTTGAAGCAGTCGAACTCCATGCTGGTGCTGTGGGATCCTACGTGGGTGACAAGACTGCCACCTGGATTCTCTTGGTCTAGTCAGTTGCTTCCACTGTGTTTCACCCGAAACCCCAAACCCCAAAACCCTAAAGTACCTAAACCCTAAACCCCTAAACCCTAAACCTAAATCCCTAAACCCAAAATCATCGAGCCCTAGACCCCTCGACGGTAAAAATCATGTGTGCCCGGGCAGCCGGGGCCGAGATCGCTCAGAAGAGGTGGTCCAAACGGGCCCAGACAATACACCTTAGGGGGTTTAGGAGTTAGGGTTTAGGAGTCTAGGAATTAGGGTTTAGGAGTGTTAGGGTTTAGGAGTTTAGGGTTTAGGACTTAGGGTTTAGGGGTTTAGGGTCTAGGGTTTAGGGTTCAAAGTCTTCCGTAAGCCCGGCTCATGTCAACTAAGGTGGTGCGTCTTCGAAATTGCTGCCTTTCTACATAGCCACGGGCGCGATGGTGAGGCAGGTCTCCAGCTTGTTCCTCCTTTATTGGGGCCCGCGTTTCTGGGAAGTGAGATGCTGATCTGGGCAGCGACCATGATATACACCTACATAGAGTCCTTCTTGGCATCTTCGGACGGTTCAATACTTGAGGGAGAACACCATCTGATGCTCGTCGGCGTCGTGGCCCTTCTACTCATCAGCTTGGTGACCCATGCTCTTCGAGGATATGCCCGCAGCGTTCATACGCTGCAAGAGCAGCTGCGTGTCTTCAAGGCGGAGCAGACGCGCAGCGCTTGCTGCGAGAACGGCCACGAAGACGAATCCCTATGCGACCGTGTGATCATTCTTGAAAGCATAGCTGCGTGGTACAATTCACTGGACAGCTTTGAATTGCAGGTGCAGACTGAAGTGCGGATGGCCATGATCGATCAACTTGCATACAAAGCCATCTCTTATCAGCGCATCTTACTTCTTTCAACTCCATATCTCTGGCTTCGTATTGAGCAAGCGACTGTGCATGCAAGCGACCCCGTCCGACAAGTAGTCAATCTGGCACAGACGCTCACTTATTTCCTGGCCATTTTCCCTTTGATGGACAAGCTGGTCTTCCGGTTGTGCTTCCGCTTGCGGGCACGATGCTGCAACTTCTGCTTGGACTTCTTTGTGTCCATGGCCATCGTGATCGCAGCCTTCTCCTTCTACGCTGCTTGCTATGCGATCCAAGTCTATGTCTTCCGCCAAAACGACCGCGAGCTTCTGAGGAGCTTGATCTCCATGTTGTCATGGTGGGCTGTCGCAGCGATCCTCTGGCGAAGTACGTAGGGCTATAGCAAGCCCTAAACCCCTAGACCCTAAACCCCTAGACCCCTAAGCCCTAAGCCCTAAACCCTATAGCCTATAACCCTAAGCCCTAAACCCTAAGCCTCAAAGGACGCTTCGAACCCTGAAGCTTTGAGCATCGAGCCCTGTACACCCAGAGGGTCCATATATACTACTATTTTGGAATTAGGTCCCCAAAGACCATCCTAATAATCGTTTTGGGGACTTAATTCCATCGTAGCAAATTTGGACCCTCTTGGACACTGAAGGGACCCGAAAGGGCCGTCAGTGAAGCCAGGAGTCGGACACTTCGTCTGCGGTCGACGCGCGTTGAAAGGTTTAGAGTTTAGGCTTTAGGGTTTAGGGTTTAGAATTCAGGGTTTAGGGTTTAGAATTTAGGGTTTAGGGGGTTTAGGGTATAGTTTTGAGGCACATCGTTATCATCATCGCCATCAACAGCATCATCAGCATCACCCTCTTCATGACGCCGAATCGTCTTTCTTCATTAACTTCACATCCTACATCTCATGACCTCACCATCATCATCATACCCTAAACCCTAAACCCTAAGGTCCAAACCCTAAACCCTAAGCCCCTAAACCCTAAACTCTAAAATGATTATCATGCCGAGGGTCCTGACCGGGAAGATGGTCGAGACCCACTAGGGCTTGGGGTTTAGGTGTTTAGGGCTAAGGGGTTTAGGGCCTAGGGATTTAGGGTTTAGGGTTTAGGGGTTTGGGGGTTAGGGGTTTAGGGCTTGCTAGCCTCGGCGAAGGGCCGGGGTTCCATTTTGAAACTGGCCGAGAGTTCTTTATTAGGTGGCACTCTGGCCTTTTTTCAAGGGTCCCTGTCTGGCTCCCACAGAGGTAGCTAAACCCTAAACCCCGAACCCTAAGCCCTAAACCCTATTTATAAGTATATTTATTGGCCCCTAAACCCTAAACCCAGTTTTTCAATAACCCTACACTCTGAAACCTAAAGCCACGAATTGTAACACCAAACCACTAAACCCCAAAAACCCAAGGCCCTAAACTCAAAACCCTTAACCCCTAAGGCTCAAAATAGCCCAAGCGCCCCAGATACTTTGGTCTTTGGGGAAAGATCTTCGGATACGAGTGAGCTTGGGGTTCTGTAGAAGCCTTCATAATTCGGTTGATGGTATAAATCCTGCATTACCCATAATAAGGATTATACCATAATTACCAGAGTTTAGGGTCCTTAAGGTCATGCAGGATTTAAACCATCAACACTTAGAATAGCGCTTTGGGGTAAACTATACTGTAATTAGAATAGGGCTTTGGGGTATACTATACCATAATTAGCATAAGGCTTTGGGGTATACTATACGATAATGAATGTAAGGTTTTGGGGGTGTACTACAGGATACTTTAAATAAGTATGTATGTATGCATGTATGTATGCATGTATGTCTGTACATATGTATGTGTGGGTACATATGCACACATAGGTATGTGTGTATGAATATGTAAGTGTAAGTTTAGATACGCATATAAATGTATATGCATAGAGCTTAGTTTTTTGCTCGGAGGTCTTCTGGTGGTAGTCAGCAAAGTCAGAAAACCTATACGCTCCATTGTAGTTCCTTTCTGGGGCTACTTTTTAGGATCCCTAATCTAGAACTGGCTAAACCAAAAAAGGAACTACAATGGAGACTATAGGAAGGTTTAGGAGTGCGTTTTTTCCTTGGGCGGGAGTTTGCCCTGAGGGTCCATGTATCCAAATGAATTTATACTTTGACCCTGAAGTACCTATAAGAAGACTACTTTAAGACCAAAGTGTGTGTACTATAGGAGCGCATGGACCCTTAGGGTTGTTTAGGGTTCATGGCCATCATGGTCCATACACTGTACCTTAGTATAGCCGCAGGCCTTCAAGGAGCTCCTACTGTTGATGATCTAAATCCTGCATTACCTTAAGGACCCTAACCTATGGGAATTCTGATCTATTCCTTATTCTGGGTCATGCAGGATTTATACCATCAACCGTATGTAGGGGAGTGCATGGACCCTTAGGGTTGGGGATCGGAAGCATTGTTCGGAGCTCTGCAGCGGCCTTTAGGGTGCAAAGTCTGCAGGGTCGGTCTGAGTGTTTAGGGTTTAGTGTTTAGGGTTTAGGGTCTAGGGTTTAGGGTTTAGGGGTTTAGGGTTTAGGGTTTAGGGCGTTTGGCACCAGGGTGTTTAGGATTTGGGCCGTGCCGGGGCTGTCGATGGTGACACTAAGGGAGCAGATGTAACCTCAGCACGACGCCGCATCCAAGACAGGCGGCTTTGTTTCCCCTACCCTCAACGGACTCATTTTAAGGCTTTTGGGCCCAAAGACCCTTATTGCATACGGCTTTTGGGCTAGTTTGATGCTAAGGGTTTTTTTGTAAGGCTTGACATTTCTCGTGTCGTCTGCACCCCTCCGGCGCCACATGAACAACTCAAGCACCTTCGACCTCCTCCCACAACAACCAATTCATAACCCCGCTGAGGAATTGGAGAGAATGTAGCTCAAGTAGCCGGCACCTCACGACAACCCCAAGCCAAAACCCGAAACCCTAAGCCAAAACCCGAAGCCCTAAACCAAAACCCGAAACACCGAACCAAAACCCGAAACCCCAAGGCCCTAAAGCCTAAACGCTGAACCTTAAGCCCTAAACCCGAGCCCCAATCAGTCCTAAACTCCTCCACACTCCCTCGGGCTCCAGTTGCCGAAATAGTAGGTTACTTGGGTACATAATACATGGCTAGCAACCTACTACCCCCTAAACCCAAAGCCCTAAAACCCTAAGCCCTAAACAAAGCCCTGCTTTTTCCGCGATGGGTGTCCCGGGGGGACGGGCTGTGTGCCTTACTCCTTCCGCCGCAGCCCCAGGAATGTTGGAGTTCTTCATTTAGGGCGTTTAGGGCTTAGGGCTTTTAGGTTTTAGGGTTTAGGGTTTAGGGTTTGGGTTTTCGGGTTTAGGACTTTTAGGTTTAGGGTTTAGGGATTGGAGTTTAGGGTTGAAGGTTTGGGCAGAGGGTTTAGGGTTGAAGGTTTAGTGTTGA